TTGAAAGCAAATGGAATATAAGCCTGCTTTTAAGACTTAAGTCCTTTCAAAAACCAAATTGCAAGATAGAAGAAGGAATTCATAGGCAATATTTAAAACAACCTTTTCCTGAAAGGTTTTATGGTTGCTAAACATTCCTATTACAGTACATGTGACAATATTAAGAGGAATTTTCCTGTTTGTTTCCAAAAGGACTTCTGTACTATCTTTCTGAAATTGGAAAACAAATATAGCTTTTTCTTTATAGGAAACGAATATATACTGTTAAGAATATAATACTCTTTGTTGAAATTTAATCTCCTTTTCAACTGCACATGCTTAGATTTTGTAAGCATGATTTTGGGGTAAGAAGCAAACTATATTTTATGCATGAAATAACACTGGATGGTAATAACTCATTGAGATAAAGAGGTAAAGACAATTTCAACCATCACAAAAATGGTAGTACCCTTATTCATGAGATGATATTACCATTCTTTCAAAAAAAAAAAAAAAGCACCAAGAAAAGGGATTGTGGGCATTGCTCAAGTGCTACAGTGTTTGCTTAGAAAGCTTGAGGCCTGGAGTTCTAACCCCAATACCACCAAAAATCAAAAACCAAGTAAACAAACAAACAAACAAAAAAAATCCCAAGAAAAACAGGAACATGAAGACATGTTATCTGAAAAATATAAATCTATCCATGTTTACAGAAACATATGGAATGGTTCTGATTAACACTGGGCATTGTTTTATACTAATAAAAGGACTGACATTGTTTCTGTGTTGTTCCAACATGGATAGAAATTCTCCTGAAATGCTGGGCTGTAAGACCATCTAGTGTAGTTGCTTGCACTCAGCTCTGGCCTTGGGTAGGTCTGATAGGTCCTATAGAATTTTCTCAGCTTTGAACAGATTGCTACTTATTCTATAAAACATCAGAGTATTTTTAAAGATAATTTCTTAGGATGAAGGGTAGCAGCAAGGTGGGATGTTAAAGAATTTCAATGGTGGTATTATGTACCTTCCTTTCTTTCCCTATATAGATTCTTCGTATTCTTTGCTTGCATTTCCCAAATAAATAATTCTACATTGCCTCAGATCTAGTAGTGTGCTCTAGGAACATCATCATCTATTGAAGCAGAGTTTCACTTAAGCTTCAGCATAAAAAAACTCTTTTGGATGTGAAGGGATAAGAGACATACTAAGTTTCTGGAGGGAGGAAAAGAGGGAGAAAGTTCTTATCTGCACTGTAGAGAGATGGATCCCTAGGTGAGGGGCCTGGGACTGGGGGTGTAGACCTCTAATCTTTAGTTTCTAGGTGGATTGGCTCTGGAATGCAGTTGTTTCTCTGGAAGCACAGAGGAAGTAGTAACCTCCCACCTCCCTCTGTTACTTTGTAAAGCTTAAGTGTAATTCCAATCACAGATTTGAATGGAGTTCTCACTAAAAACTTATAGGAAATGGAAAGTGACTTGAAAAATTTTTATTAAATGAGTGATGAGAAGAACCTCAGAAAAATTCTCTTTCTTACAGTATGTGTCCAGGGTCTAGAAGCATCTTTTCATATAATTGAGAAGTGCTTTCAAAGATTGATATATTTAATTTTAATATTTTCTAAATGCTAAAAATCCTTTAAAATATATATGCAGTATTTATTTAATGATATATGAAAAGTACCTTGTTATAGGAAGCATCTTCAATGCATCCTACTCACACTTCATAGTCCTAAATCTCAATGTCGGTGGTCCTTGTGTTTGTAATGCAAGTGCCTAAGACATAATAATATTGGTTGAATTAAACTGAACTTGATTCATCTGCTTCTCCTTTAGGAAATGCCATAGTGGTTCCTGGATAGATGAATCCAGAGGTGGGACCTTTAATGGACTGCTGCTTTGCACCGCAGTGCCAGTGGTCTTAGATGCAACACGCATGCACTATTCTCTATGGATGTGGCACCATCTCAAACCAGGGAAAAATGAGTTCCTTTTCAGGGATTATGCCCATGGTGATATGAGTTGCCTCTGAAAATTCCACAGGTTTATCTCTTTTTTTGGACTTGGGAGTTTTCACTGCAAAAATGAATCATTTACCACCTGGTAGGGCAAGTTTTTTACATCATTATCTCACTTGATCCTGACCACAACCCAAGAAGGTTGCTATCCCTATCCATACTTTCAAAAGAAGACTGAAGTTAGCAGAGCTTAAAATATGTTGGTGAAAACCACCAAGCCAAAACTTAATGTGTGTTCGGATATCAATCTATATGACCTTACAACTCAAGCTTTTAGTGTCTTCACTGAGCTTTTTTTTTTTTTTCCCCAAACAAGGTCTCACAATGTAGCCTATGCTGGGCTGAAACACCTTGTATGGCCTAGGCTGGCCTCAAACTCAGGATCCTCCTGCCTTAGCTTCCAGAGTGCCCAGGCATGCCTGGCCCACTAAACTCTTTTATTGGATGTCATTAAATGAAGGCGGATCTAGAATATTACAGTAAAAGATTTAAAGCAAAAGTATGAGCCAGTCTCTTTCTGAACCCTCCTGTCCTCTTCTTTGATCCCTTAAATTACTCTTTCCCCAGATAAGTCTGACATCCTTTTCTCTTTCCTTACTAGTGATTGGTAAGAAGAGAAGGAGGTAGAAGCAATATATAGTGAAGGCTGAGTCTAAAAGAAGAGAGGACCCAATAAAGTAGAATTTCCACAGCAAGTCATCAAACAAAGCAGCAGAACTCCCTCTTCACTTTTGCAGTCTGCAGTTCTGGGATACCAAAGGAGGAAGAAACCCCAACCAAAAGGTCAAGGGTGTAATAAGAAGGAAGAACAAGTCAAAAGCTTATGTTTTCGTTATCTTTAGATTTCATGAGACTTATTTAGCCCACCTAAGTCAGGGTTGATGTGTCTTTATTTATCATGAAATTTTAAGGTATTCTAACAAATTTACAATGAAAAAATTTTTTTTCTTGGAAAATATTGACAACATATTATTTACTTTACAGTTTCTTATTTTTAAAATGAACCTCTTCATTGTATATTCTATGTAGAGGTCAAAAGATGCTATGGAAGAGCCTTGTGCACACACGTGGCATTTGTAGAAAAAGGATAGATGAAGTCCTGCATCAAAACTAAGTTGCTTTCAACCACATTTCAGATAATTCATACTTTGAGAGGGTCATTAGGCAGATGAGTAGAAAGCAATACTGTCATCCCTTGAGAGAACTCATGTTATCATACCATATTAAAAGCAAGAATTTTTCCTCCCCAGAACTTACATACGAATATTTCATTCTCTCTTAATGTGTTTCATTTGCATTATCCACTTAAAAATTATCAATCTTTTTAAGGCTCTGGTTTTAATTACTTTGATTAGCAAATGTAAAACATTAAACATAATGCAAGTCTATCCTGGGACATAATATCTAGGAGATGGAAGTTATTAGAGGCAAACACAACAGCTCATCAGCAAGGAACATTAAAACACTTATCTTGGCTTTTGTTTTTTTTTCCTCCTCTAATGGATACATGGGTTGGGGCCACATAATTACAACCGATCAGTTCTGAGACAGGAAATTCAGTTATTCTGATTCATGACAGCTGTCTTCCAGAAACATTGCCTTTGGATGTCTGGTGCATATTTGTGCCTTGTTAGATTGATGAACACTGTACAGTTGAATCTGCTGGCAGCTTGTAGACTCAGGAATACTTATAAAGGAAACAGAGACCTTGTTTTCTATTTCCATTTCCATAGATAATGGCAATGGACTTGATTCATTTAATCAATGCTGACAAAAGTTCAAAGTGGAGAGCTTCATGGCGTGGGCCACCTGATTTGGCTGGCTACATAGATCAAATAAATGGTAGCATGCCAACTTTTTACTGCGGGTCATAACGAAGAAATCCAGTCAAAGAGGAGAATTGTCTTAAGGAAACTACTTAGAAGATTGACATTTTACAAAGAAAACCTTGACATTTAGCAGAGATCAAAAAGACCAAAATATTGGTGAGGACATTGTATAAAAGCGAATCTTTAAGGAAATAGTTTGAAGCCATTGTTAATATTTTGTGTACAAGGAACTATACAGGATTGAAAAATAGGTGACACATTTTTCTATGTGGACATTTGAAATTGCCTTGTGATTAAGTTTACTGGGTTCGTATTTTTAAAAATGATTTAACTTTCTTGGCACTTTTCAAAAACATCTGTCATTTTCTTACATTGATTCAAAAGGTGTCAGAATTCTGAGTTGAATTAAAAAAAAACAATATGTAAAGAGAGCATGCAGTATGGAGAAACTACAGAGAAATGAAAAGCACATTTTAATGGTGGGCTTCCTGTAAGGATGAAACGATAAGCACGCTGGGTAACTTCTTGAACTTGACTTTTGTGAACACTTAGATGACAGTAAGGGAATTGTTCACTTACAGCTGGAGAACAAACACTGAAAGCTTGAGATGGGATATCCCTCATTGTTACTCTCAGGAAGTACTTTTGGTGCAAGAATCAACCATTTTGCAGCTGACAGACACATCATGGAGTGTCAGATTACCTTTCAAGTTCATCTCTTTCCTTGCAATTATGGAGCGAGGTGAGCAAGCTGCTGTTCTTTTAAACAATATGAAAACCAAGAAATGGAGGTGCAACTGATGTCTTAACCAGATGATAATTTTAAGGTGAATATTATAGGCCAAAAATAGAACAATGTATTCTGTTACAAAAGACTAGAGAGAACTGGGACTGGGACTTTCCGCAGAAGGTGCTTGGATCAGAGGTAGCACTTACTTTTCATGTTACTTACTATAGTGAATTTAAAATTGATGATTTTTCTTTGATGAGGTTGTAAATATTTGCTGAAACAGAATACTACATACAGAAGGGCCATCTTCTAAAGTGACCCCAATTCATATACCACACACAGTAGTTGTGGTCCCATTGGGTGTCTTCTTTATAATTATGTACACAAGCTGGGCTCATTAGTGTGATGAATGCTTTTCCTTCCAAGTGGTTGGTATTGTTTGACTATCCCTCCAATGTGCAGGGTGGAGTAGCCAGAAAAGAAAGACTTTCAATGACTCAAAAGAACGTGTAGTCTCCTACACGTTCTTTAAGCAGTCTGCTTCCACATAGATGGCGGCATCTAAGCTCAGTGAGGGTCTGGATGACATGAGATCCAGTTAGGGCAATGGAGCAGTTTCTGCTTCCAGATTTTCTAGCTGAAAGGAGAGAAAAAAAAAGGAAAAATAGTGAGTGTTTCAGATTTGCTTGCAGTAAACATTTATTGAACATCTTCTGTATGTAGGAACTGTATTGAGGATCATCATATATACTTTCACCTGAAAACCTCAGAGTTTTTCCTAAATGGCAAGACATTAATTAATATGTTCAGTCATTAGGAATATCTTTGGGTCATCATAAATATTCTTTTGTGTATAGACTACTGAAGAATTATATACTGGTTATTATAGAGATGTTGTTGATATTATCATTAAAAAATACATTTTAAACCAAACTCTTTTTCTCCCACCATTCTTTACCTTCCTCCTTTATCTTCAAATCATGTATGACTTGACCAAAATTTCAAAAAGAAAGCTAATACTTTTATTGTTCTTTATTTCTAGACAAAGAGATTTTTATTTCTTACCCAATTCTCAACATTAATGTTTTATTTTTCCTGAAGTAACTAATTTGAAGTACATCCCCACCACACCCCACTATAAAGCTAGCACATATGTTGAACAATATATTTGCTCATGCACACAAAAAATGTGGCTTGCTATTTTCAAATAAGAGAAGGTGATGATTGGAATAGAGCAAGTCTCACAATTGACAAATAATTGTTGCTTTCACTGCTATAATTTTGGTGAGGAGAAAAGGTGGTATTTGCAGTATAAGTATAAAGGGCTGGAAGAAAATTTTTTAAACTTTATTTTGGTAAATTTCAAACTTCAGGAAAGGTGCAAGAATTCAATGGTACCAAGAACACTTGCTTACCTGCTGTCCAGCTCCACCTACTGTTACCAATCAGCCTGTTTGTTTTGTAACTGACTTGCTCGCTTTCCCTCTCTCCTCTCCAGATCTCTCTCATTCTCTGAGTGTAACCCTCTGACTCTTTCTCTCCCTTTTTTTCCCTCTCTCTCTCCTCTCCCTGCCTCTCTTACATCCACATTATCTTTCTGAATCATTGGATATCACATTGACCCTTTACCCCCAAAATTTCTGTATGTGTTTCCTAAGTGCCAAGGATATATCTGATCGCTGTCACCATTGGAAGAGGCAGGCCACCATGGGCTAGAGGGTCCCTGAACACCCTTGCTGACTGTGCATAAAGCAGCTGTCCCTGACTCTGGCCACATATGTCGCTCATCATGCAGACAGTGAAGTCGCCCAGGCAAGCACAGCACTGACCATTGTGTGAACATCTGCTCTTGGAGAAGGCTTGTTTAGTGCTCCTCCAGGTGCTGAGGCTTTGGCTCTGGATCTCTGGTTCTGGATCTTTCAACTGTGACTGCCATCTGGTGCCATCCCATTGCCCAGCAGGATTTGTGGGAAGGGGAGATGGCACCACCACGCTCAGGCTTCTGCTGTTTGTCATGCTATCATGAACTTGCTTGCTTGCTTAGTCATGTCCTTGGAGTCTTGTTACTTTTATGTCATCTTTTCAGAGGTTGAGATTCTTGCCAAAGTGGCATAAAGTTCAGTATGCTAAGATAGACAAGAACTTAAAAAAAAGGCAAAGACTCAAAGGCTGTGTTCATGGACATTGGAAATTCCCTGGAGCTGCGAACAATTATTGTGGCCCAAGTGGTATAGAAGATGGCTGTGAATGGCTCACATTTGTCCTCCCTGTTGATGAAAATGTGTTGTGTCAACCAGCGAGGCTGAGAGGTAAGGGGAAGAATATAACAAACCATTCTGGTTACTGCCTATGCTCCATCGCGGAGAAAGGCACAGCTGCACTGAATTCTAAGTCACAAGTAGAAAGATCAGAAACAACATGTTCCCAGAGAGAGCTCTAAGATGCAGGCCCATAGTGAGGGGTAAGATCATCTGGGACGTTTTGATGAACAGGCTGAGGAGCTGTGAGGTGCTGCATCACTGTGATGAAATGGTGAGGAAGGTTATGCTCTTAGGGTCAGCAGTAGCACCACGCCGTCTCACACAAAACCCTATGATTAAGCCACTGTGCATATCATTTCTTCGAGATAGATTTATGCCCCATAATGAGGTTTGCTACTCTGGATTTCTGTTTTGATGACTACATTATGGTCAATCCAAGGAGACTACCTTAAGATCAGCAAAACTGCATGAAATTCCATGGAGAAAACTGTTAAAAGCCTGAGGACTGATGCGGCTCAAGATTCAGTCTGTCCTGGAAAGAAAGACCCCTATCAGAGCATGACTGTTGAGTTTTTAAGATTTTCCTGTCTGCAAAGTAGAAGACTCTACCATGTTCTTTGCTAGGAGATCCTGGCAGCTGTGGTGACTTAGGGCCTTAGGGCCTTACACTCTACAGAGGTCACAATGGGCATGCCAGGAGAGTTCAGGGGTGGGAGAATAGGAACTTTCATGTCTCTTTTCAATATCCCTGATAGAATCACTAAGCACTAGGTTCTCTTGAGGGGCAACTACACATTAATCAGGTAGATTTGAAACAGAATAAGTAAAATGGGACAAGAAGTATTTGTGACCAATAGGTGCTAGTTTTGCAGCTCCCACAGCTGATTGATAACAGGTATTGTTAATTTGCATGCTTGCTCTGTGAATGCTCATGGTGCCTAGCGAAGATTTTCCTGTTCTGTAAAAGCCCCTTGGAGAGAGGTAATGATGGGGCACATGCAGGGCGTCACATCCTAGCTTTGACTCTCTTCCGTGTTTTAAAATTAAATTATTTGAATTCTAGGATAAGAAAAGGAAACTCAGCCTTGATTAAGGATATAAATGCAACAAGACTAATGAAAAAGGCAGCATCTCCATATCCTAGCCCTGTGTGGCCAGTAAAAGAGAGCTAATGAATCTGGAGACTTATGGTAGATGATTACCTCCTAAATTCAGTTGACATTATGGTGCTGGCTGCTTCAGATGATAGCCTGTAGTCCTGGGTATTCAGACACTGTGGCTATAAATAAATCAATTGCCCATGATAGCTTCTGTCAATGCCATCATGGACTTTGGTCTTCTCTTTTTCTTAATACTTTTTGGACCCAAAGGTGAAGACTACCCACTCACTGGCTTGGCTGACAAAGCATGTTCCTGTGCTGCTGAAGCACTACTTGAATTCTCCTGCCATTTGCCACCAAATGGGAGAGTCAAAACATAGGCCACGCTTCTCTATTTTTAGATGAGTTGGTCCTACTATATTGATGATATTATTTTGATAGGCCCCAATAGATTTAATAGATGCTATGCAACATGAAAGCTCAGAAAGGCTTATTAATTCTGATAAGACACAAGGATCAGTCACCCATGTCAAAATCTTGGAAATAATTTGGACTGATCACAGAGAAAGTGCAGAAAACATTCTAGGAAGCACTGTCTCCTCGCTATCAGAAAAGAAGCCTGACACTTAGTCGGACTATGGAGGTTTTATTTATCCATTTTGTTGAATTACACATATCAGTTAATTGGACATTTGCCAATAAGGCTGAGGCCTTCAGCATTAGGTGGCACTGGAGTCAGTGCAGTAGGCTGTCCCATAGTCCACCCATGGAAACTCTTTGAACTACAGTTGTCTGAAAAGAAAGTCAGTCTTCACCCAGTGGTACATTTTTAGGTTCTAGACTCACTGTCACTAAGGTATCACTACCCATTTCATTGGGGGAAGGACACCTTAGACCCTGGAGGTGCTGGGAGCAGAAAATAATTAACACTCTTTTTGTTTCTGAATTCTAGCCCCTCAGTATGGCAAAATAATTACAGGGTCCACCAGAGATAAGCAAGCACTTGTGACAGTTGTGATGAATTTATCATTCCCATCCTGCTGTGAGCCAAGAAATTCCTGTTGGCATGCTTGACTCTGAATTATTCTGCTGTGCTTGATGTTATCAAAAGTAGCTCTTGAAAACCATTCCTCCTTGGACATGTACAGGAACCACAGGGACACAGCTTGTTTTAGTTAAGCTCATCCCAATTCCTATGTCTCTCCTGGTACCTTAATGCCTTAGTGTATGCCATACATGGCTGTCTAGGATTCAACCACTTGGTGACCATATGGTGTAAGCAAACCAAAGTAATGGTGATCTGAATCAGTTTATTTATTAATAATGGATAGAAATAATCTATTACTTTTCTGTAGGAGAGAGAAGACCATGGGATAGCTCTTCTTGGGGATGGAGGTGCTGCTATTTGGCTCATCTTTGACTCTCTGCAATTATTGGCAATGACACCACTCCGTGAATCACATTCCCTTTATTGGATCCCTGGGTAAATGAGGCTGTTCTGCTCTTTTCCTGGCATCTGAGTCTACATTCTAGAGATAGGCCAGGAATCTATTATTAAATTTAACTACTGTAGTCAATGGGATAGAGTGAACCATAGAAAATCAGCAGTTCAGTTTGAACTCGTTGTAAATAGATTGTTTGTTGGCTCTGGATAGTATTCTGGGTAAATGGGGAAGGTTTATATGGTTGCTAACTGCTTCTGTTTATGTTTAGATTAATACCTGTGGCTTGGAACCATAATCTGTGCATACCTAAGAAAGGAATCTAGAAATTCATCCAAAATAAGACCTATTAGTCTTCTCTTGGATTTAGTTGAGTCTTGGATCCTGGAGTGAGTGATTAAGGTCAATACTACAGACTCACCTTTCCCTATACATGGGATTCTGTTAATAGTAACCCCAACTCAGTGTTGATTGAAATAATTAGGACAGTTTGGGTCCTGGTGTTTGTAAGTATGTCTAATTTAACTTGCTGATGTGGTGGCATTGTCATATGAGAGATTTCTTTTCTTTTTTTGGTGATACTGGAGTTTGAACTAAAGAATTCTGTTGTTTAAGCCACCATGTATATGGTATTTTGTTATGGCAGCCTTAATAAATCAATACAAGCACTTTTTGAAATCTCTTTAAGGTTATACTTTTTTATATATTTTTTGGTAGCACTGGGGTTTGAACTCAGGGCTTCATGCTTGCTATGCAGGTGCACTTACTGCTTGAGCCACTCCACCAGCCTGCCATTGTCACATGGAAATTTAAGTTTGGCTAAGAATATTCCAG